GCGGAAGGATGCGTGGGCATCGGCGCGCCGTGCTCTCGATGGGGAGACGTCGCATCGATCGGAGGAGTCTGGGAGCGCCTCTGCAAACCCGCAACCCAGTCCCACCGCGCATTCAGTCCCGAACCCAAGTTGCGAACATCAGCATCTCGCCCGGACTTCTGGGAAGATTAACTGAGTGATCGATCGAACGAAAATAGCGATGACGTCAGAGAGACTCCAGACTACACTGCCAAGGCCGCCTACCGCAGGCGATACCCAGATCCACATCAGTGGCTCAATTCAGCTAAGTTGTTCCGAAGAGCATAAGGAGGCGCAAGACATCGGCTAGAACGGAAGAAAAAGAAGAGGGCAGGGGAGTTGAAATGGTTGCCCCCTACAAGGAAGCAGAAAACAGTGCGAATCGGGAAATCAAAACGAGTGGACAAGGCCAGGGATTGAGCACCTGGCCGCGGCCAGAAACGCAGCTGGGTATATCACCCATCGTGGGACTCCCTGGACTCCGCGACACCTTCTGGAGGTCTTCTGAACTCCAGGATACATGTCCTAAATGACTTCCAAGACGACCCAAGAAGAACTCCCGAGTCGCCAAGATCTGGAGGAAAAAGAACTATGCACATACACCGATTCTGGCCAGGCCCATCCTGAGCCCAGGATCGGTGCATACGCCCTCCTACCTTGGCCAGGAAGGCATATGCACCGATCATGGGTCAAGGATGGGCCTTGCCATGATCGGTGCATGTGCATAATTCTCTTCGCCCGAAGATCTTCCACGGCTTCATCACGAGGGCACCAAGCAGCTCCAGTCACAGAGCCCCCAGGCGTCCCTACGGCCAGGATCCAGGACCCGCTCCAGAGATGCAAAAACGAGCTCAAGACAAGCACTTGGCAGGCCAGAATCCACGCAAGGACGCGCCTGGACAGCCCGAGAACCTCCCCGGCAGGCCCGAAAACCTGCCCAGGCAGACCCAGGACCACCCAGACGAGGAGAGGCCCCCCGGAGAGTCGCCGAGAGGTCCCCGAGAGGTCGCCAAGAGGGCCCCCGAGAGGCTCGGGCACGACCCTCTCGGGCCTGGGCAAGAGAGCCGACACGTGCTACGGCCTCCTCGGCCTCTTGCGGAACAAGACTGGCACGTGTCGTGGCGCTGCCCGAGCTGGGAGAGCGAGCCGGCACACGCCGCCACCCTGCGGGAAGGGGGCAGGATACCTATGGGCCCTAAGGAAGACGACGACTGCCCCCTGCTACGAACGTCCTGGGGAGCGAGAACTCAGATGTTACCGCTCGCTGGGCCTTCAAGGAAACCTTGTGTCACGAGTCACGAACAACGTGTGGCCTGCTCTGAATTGACAGAAGCGAAGTGCCGCATATCATGGAACTCTGGGGCCTGGGGGAGACAATCATCATACACTGCGGCCTGTCCGAGCATGCGATGGCTCTCTGGAGCTGAGGAAAGATGAATTACCACATGTCACGACATTCTACGCCAGTTTCGAGAGGTCGCCCATCTGACAGCTGCGCTGGCACTGTGGCGGAACTTGCCACGGGCACATGGGTATTCAACAGACGTAAACGGGAGTGGAGGACAGGGGGAGAGGAGAGTAGAGTGAAAGAAAGCGAATGAGAATCGGTGATGATGAATGGTGTCCTCCCCCACCTACTCCCCCTATTTTCGAATATCACCACATTCTCCTATCGCTCTCCTCACGCGCGAAAGTCCACGACGGAAGCCCAGATGACGTTCCACTGCCAGCCCTGGGATGGGTGGAAAGAAGGCGGCTAGCGGCGCGCAGAAGGGGACTGGGCGAGGGGGCGGTCTCCTGAGAAGGAGGCACGGGGGCTTACCAGAAAGGATCGGTCCCCCCATCGAGGCTCCCAAAATCAGAATCAGACTCGGAAGAGGGGATGTCTCCGAAAGAAGCGTGCACGATGCCACGCTGCGCTGAGCGACAAGAGAAACGCGCTTCTCGCTGACACGAGGCTCACTGCTGAAGCGCACCACGCCCATGTGTGAGAGAGGGGCGGGCAGACGGAGAGGAGAGGACGGCAGGCCTCTGAGTGGCGGGGTGCCTTCTTAGAACGCCACCCACCTCTGATGGGCCGATGTTCCACCACCACGACCATGGGTAGGAGAGGAGGAGGAGGAGGAAGAGGAGGAGGAGGAGAGAAAGAGGAGGGGAGAAAGAGGATGAGAAGGAGGCCCTCCCAGTCCTCCTCTCTCCCTCGTCCTGCCTGTGGTGGTGGGAGGTTGGCCCACCCGCCTCGCCCTGCCGCCCGGCGCCCTCGTGGACCTCCCCAAATGTGGAAAGACTGCGACGACGCTGCCCACACGGCCGGGGAAGGCACACCACGCCCCTGGAGCGAGCGAGGGGCGCACAGAGGGCGCCGAGAGATTTGGGGTCCCGAAACGGTGCGGTGACAGACCGTGCGGTGACCTCGCAATCCCCCAAGACCTCGCCGCACCGTCCGTCACCGCACGGTCTTGGGACCCTGGAGGCCCCTGTCGCCCGAGACGTCCTCGGAGAACGACCCGAGTCCCACAACCGCGCGGTGACCCCGAATCCCCACCGACTCACCGCACGGTGTGGTCACCACCCCGTGTGGGGGCCCCCGAAGAGAGCACGGCAGGCTCCAGAGTGGCGGGATGCCTTCTTGGAAGCGCCGCCCGCCTGGCCCTGCCGCCCTTGCTCCCTCGTGCGCGCCGCGTGGGCGAAAGAGACCCCCCCCCGCCGAAGCCTGCGAAACACGCCGCCCAGCGACCAGGGAAGGCAGCAGCCGAGCCAGCCAAAGCTCGCGGCGCCGCGCGGTCTCGTTGACTGCGGCGCTCGGGGGGACTGCAGGGGTGGGCGGTGGAAGACAGCCAGGCACCAATGATGCTGCCATACAGCGGAAACCCATGCCAAGAAACACCCTGCTTGCCTCCAGGGTGCCCTGGGTTCCTTGGGTTTCGATGCTTTTTTGCTATGGAACGCGTGACGTTCCCACACCAAGCATCAGTGGACGACCTGGGGCCTCAGGGTTGGGTTTCTTGTAGCAGGCTTCTTGTGGTCGAGCTCCCACTGCAAGCCACTCCCGAGGGAAGTGGGCCCACCCTGGGGACTCCCCCGAGCCGGCTCTTCGTCAGTGAACAATTTGCTTGACGGCCACCCGGGCCCAGACGGCCGAAACTGGCGACAAAAAACGCAGGGCAGATCATGACGATGATGGCGAGATCCCTAGAGGGAAAGGGACGACGCCGGCGACGAAGACGACGACGACGACGACGACGACGACGACGACGACGACGACGACGACGACGACGACGACGACGACGACGACGGCGGCGGCGACGACGACGACGACGACGACGACGACGACCATGACGATCACGACCACGACTACGACCACGACCACGACCACGGCCGCGACGACCACCACGACGGGAGAAGAAAGCGAGGATACAGATGAGAAGGAAGAGGGGAGGGACAAGATAGGTGCACTCGCGTCACATACGACATCCTTCCCACACCCTGCTATCCCTTACCTTTGCGTTGAGCCCCCCTCCATTCACAGCGTCGGGGGTCGAAAAGGAGACATGGATCCAGAGAAGAGGCAACCCCGTCGAAGAAGACCTCGGAGATCGAGAGCCAGGAGGGACACGAAGGCGAAGGAGCGGGACCGGGAGGAGCACGAAGGGGGCGGGAGGGGAGGAGTAGGAGGCAAGACGATGGGGAAGCCACATTGCAGATCCAGGAGTCCCAGAGATCCGACGCCTTGATTTATTCCGTACGAGGTCCCCGGAAGGCTCGATCCACTCCCAGGGACCAGCTCTTCAGCCTGAGTCGTTTTTTGTCGGTCCTGGGGCCTCGCGAGGGCCTCTGGACGCCGAAAACGGAAAAAATATCGGTCTTGATGTGCTCAATACTGGGTCCCCAGAAGTCTCGACCCAGTCTCAGGGACCAGTCCTTCATCCTGAGTGGTTTGTTGTCGGTCCCAGGGCCCGGCGAGGGCCTCTAGACGTAGTTCGGGCATGTCCTCCTACAAACGGATTTTAAAGAAAAAGAGAAAATAGTCAACAAAATACTCAAATAAATCAGAAGAGCACGAAAATCGTCCCCAGACTACCCTTTGACTATTCTTGAATGTTCCTCCTGTAGAAGGGGTATGTCCGACTTAACTCCAGACGCCGACAACTTGGAAAAGTATCCGTCTTCATGTTTACAATATGTTGGATATCTCTGGAGCAGCACCGCCGTGAGGGCATCACTCCGTTGGGACGGACGCGACACTGCAGTGCGGAGGTGTGTCGCCGACGCTGCAGCAGGGAGAACCCGATGCCGGAATGCAGGCAGCGCCGCGGCGGGATCATCATCGCGTTGGATCGGCGGAGAGCCTGGGGGGGAAGTGAGAAGTGGCAAGCCTTCTCAGAAGGCTCTGAAATCCCCCGGCCTTCTGTGCAGTTTTCTGATCCTTCCCCGAAGACACAGAAATATTGTCAGAAGGCGCGAGGGCGTCTGAGAAGTCCCGCCGCCTTCTGAGAAGGCCTTCTCCTTCTCACTTCCCCCCTCGCTCGCCGCCAATTGGAGGGAAGCACCCTTGCAGTATGGAATGCCGCGAACGCTGCAGCGGGAGCACATGTTCTGAAGGGCCGAGAACGTGCTGGACAAAATTGAGATTATACATGTGTATATATAAATGCATGCATGCATGCATGCATAAAACATAAATGTACATAAATGTGTAATTGACAATGTAAATGTAGATTGTAAGTGCAAGACTATGTATACATATGTACTATGTATATATAGAGCACATGCACACATACATATGTATGTATATATATATATATACACCTACCTACCTACCTACCTACCTACCTGCCTACCTACCTACCTCCACACCAAGCTACATGCATATATGCATGCATACATACATAAATCAAACAGACTAGATACAAGCATGCGTGAATGCATGCATGCATGCATGCATGCATAGATGCATGCATGCATACGTACATACATACATA